ATTATATTCAACTTAATTTTATTATATTCAACTTAATTTTAAACTTGTCTTTTAAACTACTAGTCTAACTTTTCCGTTTTTATTTTTATTAAATCAATATTGCTCAATTCTTTTGATTTGGCATTGCAAATATAATACATTTCAAATGGTATAAAATAAGATTGGAGTATTTTTTTTTATATTGAAAAGTGAACTTTAAAACTCTGAATAGGAGGCTGATAGAAATTTAAATTTTAGGATCTAGCATTTTTTTTTTTCATATGTTATATAAGAAGAAAGGGTATTAATGCACGGCGGGTAATAAGACTGAATAGTATAATCAAAGTAAAAATATATAATTCCGCTTTGGTTTGCACGTTAATGAAAAATATCTTGGATAACTTTTTTCCGACCCTCATTTAATTTTACAGGTATTTAATATTATACATAGGACTTTCTATTAATTACCTCAACGATTTTCTGTCAATTTTTACCTTTTCCTCCCCTTTGTCAACAGCTTGTCAAACTTCTAGAGACCCCCTTAAAAATTACGTCAACTAACTCCCCCCCCCACCCCCTCCAAAAAACACTATTTAGAGAATCATTTAAAAATACAAATGCTTGCTCTGAACAAAAAGTAAATAAAAGTAAAAGGTATAGAAAAAAATTTATTAAATTTTTAACTTAAGAACATATTTCCTGTTAAAACAAAGTTATACAAAAATTTACTCCGACCAAAAAAATAAAGATTAAAGGGATCACAAAAATGTATACACCTTACACGTTTTAATTATGAATATATTTCAAAATAATGCAATACTTCATCATGTACCAACATGTGCCGATCCTCGTCACTTTAACGTTAGACCTACTTCAATTTCACAGTTAAAGCCAACTCTATTTTTGTTAGAGTTGAGAATAACGATAAAAGACATTTAACAAAATGTATAAACCAAGAGTCGGCAACGTATTGAGACAAAAGAGCAAAAAGTTGCAATTTACAAAGTTTTGGTTTGCTGTGTAAAAAAAAACAATTTATGTAATTACATGGTCTAAATTATTTAAACGTTTATACCAGGGTTATACAATCTGCTGCTTGCAAACCTCTTGTGGTTCTATTGAAGTCAAGATGCGCCTCTTGAACTCCATCCACAAATATTAATTTAACATTGAAATAAAGATGTTGGTAGCGCTCTAAAACAGAATTTTTAAGGAGCTACCAACATCTTCATTTCAAATCATCTACCAAATCTTTATTTCAATATTATATTAACATTTGCGCATAAACCTAATGAGCCGCATCAACCGCAGGTTGCCGACCCCTAGTATAAACGTTTAGATAGTAAAATGTAGACCAAGTACTTATAATTTAAATACTTTAAATAATTTAAATTAAAGATTTATATAATTTTTCTTTGCATAGCAGACTAACCAACAACAACTTTGAAAAAATAATAGTTTTACGAGTAAACATCTTATGTGTGCTTATTTAGTTCTTTACGTGTCGGGTCTTGTTAAAGCACAACATGGTTATTAAAAAGTAGGAATATAAATAGCTTTATTAAAATACCGAAGGTTTAGCGAGTGTGTAACACAGGACTGCAAACGCTGCCTAATTTTCCTTTTTATTAAGTAACAAAAAAGTAACATTGTTGACGTTAACTAGTCTTGACCTCCCCCCTCCCCCATGTTAACAAATGTCTTAAAAATTCAGACCTCCCCGTCCCCCCTATTTTGTTGACGTAATTTATGGACAGCTCCATACTTTAAATGTTGATAATATAATTTCTTAAACGTATTCGAAAGGGTGAAATTGATTTATTAGAAAAAGTCCAACATCGTGCAACTCGATTAATACCATCACTCAAGAAAATCAACAATTATACTCGTCTAAAACTCTCGACTTGACTACCTTTACAAAAAAGAGACAAAGAAGAGACCTGATTCAACTTTTAAAATTCTTTAACGGTTTCAACGTTTTGGAAACAATTAAAAAAAAGTTTTCAACCAACTCGAAAAAGAGGTCACCGCTTTAAACATGTCAAAGAAATCATTAAGCAAGCGTGTCCTTAAAAATTTTTTTTTTTAATAAATCAGCAAATTTATTGAATAGCTTGCCAAACAAGTTGGTTAACGCACAACCAGTTAACAGTTTTAAAGTAGGTTTTGATTGCTGGATGAGCAGTAGTCAAGGTAATTGGCTGTCAATACAACAGACTGTTGGTACTAACGCTGTTATCAACAATGTTTATACCACACTCACTGGCTCACACCAGTTGCAAATATTAAAAACGCTTAACTTTAGTATAGTTAAAATATATTAGGAGTACCAGGTCTAATTAATTGTACTATATACAATTAGTATATTATAGGTCTCTATAATTATATTAAGTAACGGTAATATCTATAAAAATTATCTTAAGTTTCAGTCAAAATTTTCAATATAAAGGCACCATATAGAGCAAAGTAAACAAAAAACACTCAGGAATCATCTTATTTCAGGTTCTGCAAAAAAGTCTTTGGAAGAAAGGCACACTTTCGTTAGATCACGAAAAAGAACTAGTATCTAGCATAACTAGATTGTCTCATATTGAAATGTCACTAACAAATATACTGTTAAAGTCCTATCTATATAATTTTGTTAAAGTTAATAATATAAAATATAACTTTGATGCATCACAAAAACTAGCTGGAAGAAATTGGTGCAAAAATGTTTAGGATGGCAACTGATTTAAGCCGCAGAAGTGCACAGTTTATAAATACAGCCAGGGCTCAAAAAATAAAGTATTTTATTGTACAAGACTATTTTCAAAGTTTGGAAAATCAACTGTAGGAGTATGGCCTTTTTAATAAACCTATATGCATTTACAACACGGATAAATAGAAGTACGTCTTACAGTGCATCACCATCAAGCTGTATTAGCACCACAAGGAGCCAAGAAAGTTCATGTCCAAGAACATGTGAAAATGTAACAATTGTTGGGTGTGCAAATGTTCAGGGTAATGCAATACCCACAATGGTTTTTTTAAAGGAGTACGAATGAAAAAAGAATAGAAAGATAACTTGCCACTTGGCTTTAAGGCAATGTGGAATCAGAAGGGATCAACAACCATTGAGCCATTTTTGTTCTAGTTAGAGTACTTCAATAAGAATTCTGTTTGGAAAAATTTGAAAAGACATACACTTGTATGAAACAAATACATGTCTCAATAAGCATGATTGGTAAGGAATGAAACGCGAACTTTCTGATTAAAAGCTGTCCCGCCGTGATTCGTAATAATACCAATGGAGTACTTAAAAAATAAAATAAACTAACTAGTATTACTAGTAGATTTAGAGCTACTGGAGTTTATTCTTTTGACAAAAAGGCAATTCCAGATTTAATATTTTTTAAATCTGGAATTGCCTTTTTGCACTGCATTGACTTGCAACTGATGATCCATCGTTTATTCAGAATAATGTGAATTTTATAATAGATCTATCAATAGCTGATCAACATGGGTTATCGTAAGATTTAAGCTTAGACAGCCAACATAGACCATCTATGGTTGTGTTCAGATAACCGTACCTACTTTGACCGTCTATAGCTACTGAAACTCAGTTAAATTCATCGATGCATAATAGAAGTTTCACTGAGCTAATAGAAAGTCCCGCCCAAAAAATTAATATTTCTATAGTTAGTTGCAAAAAAAGCTTCAACTATGTTGCTAAACCGCTGACAAAAAAAACTTCAACTATGTTGCTAAACCGCTGACAAAAGAAGCTTCAACTATATTGCTAAACCGCTGACAAAAGAAGCTTTTGCACAATCTGGTAGATAAAACATACAAATAAAATAAGAGTTAAGGGAAGAAAAAATTAACAAAACTTTAGCTTCTGTGGATTTGAATAATTAGTTTTATGCTTTGTGCCAGGAAAAGCTAGCGGAGAGCATGTATAAGTGTTTTAAGTACAGTGTTAGGTGTCATGAACAATCCATTTAATACGATTCTAAAGATGACGTCGAATTAGTCTTAATTGTACAGATTAGCTTTTATCATGTTTAAAAAATTTTGTGTGTGTGTGTGTGTGTGTGTGTGTGTGTGTGTAAAATAAATTAAACATCTTATTTTTTTCATTTTGTTGCTATTAATGAGATTTCTAATTATACCATGTGTTAAATAATACTTAATTAAAAATTAATTACAAGATAGTATTTCTTTAAATTTTATAGAATTATTGAACTGAGCTTTATTACCATCCAGTGAGACCATTAAAGATATGTTAGAAAAATACTAATAAGTTATAAAATATCCACATTTCATTAAATAAAATAGTATACATATAGAAATTAATTATCTTACATAGTAATCTAAAACATTTGTGAAGTAATGCATATTGTAATGCATATTGTGAAGACAAAAAGTTTATTGGTTGGACCTTAATATCCTCCGTTATCTTAGTATAACCAATCTTTCTTTTGTTTATTAAATGCCATTATTTACTGAATATTTCAATTCAATTCAAAGAAAACAAAAAACAATTCAATATTAAAAAATAAATTTTTATTTTTTATTTACAAAAAACACGTTAAAAAGTAAACAAATGAATATACGTAGTTAAATCTAAAGTCGCATGAACGCTACTATTAGTCTACGCTAAGTACAACAAATGTAGATAGAGCGACTCTTATAAAAAGTTCATTTACAACAAATGATCTACTGAACTATATTGGAAAAAATTTAATTGAGCTATCGGATATTTTTTTTTTAAATAAGTACCCAAAAATTAGAAAATTCGCATATATAAGTCATTTTTTTCAAAAATATCGAATACGACACTTGTATTCCGGCCTGACGATACATTCATTTTTTTTAAATTTAGCCTGAAAGTTTTTTTAATTTAGCCTGAAATAAATAATAAAACAAAAATACATTTTTATCTTTTCGAGAGAAATCTAAAAACAATAACTCTAAACACACGTGCGCGATTTATTTCGAGATTTGTTTGTTTTGCATTTTAATTTTGAATTTAACTTTAAGATTCGACGTTTCAGAAGGAGAACCATAATGTCACAGTTTTAAAGACTTTTAGTAAATTAATCAAAATATTCAATTATACAGTACATATGTACAAATACTTGCGTATTTTATACTAGATTATGTCTAAAAATAAGTTGTACGTTCGTAATTTGGGTAATCTCGATGATGACGATTTATTGTCTTTATTTGAACCATATGGCGAAATAGTTTCTTATGAAGTATTCAAATATCCTTCTGGACATAGTAAAGGATATGGGTTTGTTCTTTTTTTGCATGAGAAGAATGCAGAAAATGCTAAAAGGTTAGTTAATAACGCTGAAAGTATTTCCAGTATTACTGCTTAAATAAGTTATTTTTATTGCCACTTTATTATTTATTTGTTATTGATTTTGGTATTGCTTTTTTAAAATATATAGTTGTGAACAAGTCATTGGCAATATGTATGTAATGTCTTTTATTTTAGATGTAAACATTATTAAAATAATTTTATGCAAAAATGTAGCAGGAACATTAAAGCTTTTGATCTGCTAAATAAAATCTCTAAATATTGAAACATTTAAAAAACTTCAATATAGTTTCATCTTAAGGTTTGAAAAAAATGTTTATATGTTTAAATAAAATCCCAATTTCTGTCTACCATACAGTTATATTATAAACCTTCTAGCATTCTACAGAGGGTAGTTATGAAGTGAAACCTACTTATGTTGAAAAAATAAAAGTGTTTATACAACTAATAGGTTTGCTAAGTTAAATAATGTAACATTGTTTTTAAACAATGTAACAATTTAACATTTTAAAAACACTGCACAGTGGGCCAGGTGGTAGACAAATATAATAAAAAAATACATTATCAAAAATTGCATTATTATATACCATTTTATATAAATTTTATTATTTTATATATTATATTATTTTATTATTTAAAGTATATTATACATCATATTATTTTATATTAAATTATATTATACTAAAATTATATTATTATATCAAAATATATTATACATTATATTATTTTAGATATACATTATATTAAATATATATAATATATATAATATATATATAATATATATATATATATATATATATATATATATATATATATATATATATATATATATATATATATATATATATATATATATATATATATATATATATATATATATATATATATATATATATATGTATATATATATATATATATTTTGGTCAGGTCAGGTTTATCCTGCTACTGGTAACATGTAAGCCAGTACAATCTGCTTCATTTGCTGCTGCCTTGTAGGATATGTCTTTTTAGGCAAAGGCTAGGAGATGCAAACTCTGACATAAAACACCCATAACAGATAAGCAAACTCTGACATAAAACACCCAGTAAACAGATTCTATCTGTTTCTAAATATTAGACTTAAGGGGTAAACTGTTTGTTGACCAGCCTCGCACCCCTTCTTCATCTATTAGGCTGGCGTAGATTTATTTTTAATACATTGTTTCCAGTTTAGGATGTTGAACGCTGAATCTTCTTGACTCAATGCATGGGTTTTGCTTGTGTCTCTGTTTTTATGACTAGGCAACTCATTCTATTATCTCCAAATGAGGGTACAGCTCTAAAACTCAGTTTTATGGTTCTGAGGCCAGCTGGTAGTCAGGTTTCCCGAACTCTGTGGTAGCTAACAGAGGGGCTGATTCCATTAACAGCTAAAAATATCAGAGTACTAACAGTGCCATGTTGCGCATGGATGGTGTCCCTGTTTGTACTTTTGGTGTGCATTGCCAAGGCCACATTGGAGCTCTTTGTTACGGCTTAGGGTTTATTAGTGGAAATGAGGCAATTGGGCTATAAAACAGTGTACTGAGTACTATCTATGTTTCTAGTCAAGTTCTTTAACAAATTTAAAAATGAATAAAGTAGCAAAAACTATAAAACACAAAAAACCGCAGTCATCACCAAGTTCGCTAAACCTATCATTCACCAATATTCGTGGTTTCGAAGTAACTTTTCTTCTGTTGAATCTTATCTCTTGCAAAGTTCACCAGACCTACTTGCTCTTTGTGAGACTAATTTAAGTTCTACTGTCTCATCTTGTGATCTTAGTGTTAATGGTTATCTTTCTTTAATTCGTAAAGACTCTAATAGTCACATGCTTGGCCTGGGCATTTACATTCGTAAGAATTCACCCATTTGTCGGGAAACTAGGTTTGAATCCACAGACTACTCTTTTATGTGCTTTCATTTAGCACCACTTCCTTCTATCACCTTTCTCTTTGTTCTATATCGCTCTCCTTCATCTTAAGACTGCACTCTTCTTGATGTTATTTCTGATTATATTGACCAAGCCCTCATTCTTTATCCATCAGCCAATATTGTTGTTGTCGGTGACTTTAATGTTCATCACACTAAATGGCTTGGCTCTAGTGTCAGTTACTCTGCAGGCATTAAGGCCCACAACTTTTGCCTTTCTCAATCACTAACTCAAATAGTCAATTTTCCTACTCGCTTTCCAGACAACCCGAATCATTTACCTTCTCTACTCAACTTATGTCTTGTTTATGATCCTAGTCAGTGCTCAGTTTATCCACACTCACCCTTTGGTGCTTCTGATCATGGTTTGGTCTCTCTAAAAGTATTATCTCATTCTTCTTTACCATCAGAATCCCCCTATCATCGTACATCTTACAACTACCTTAAAGCTGACTGAGACTCTTTCCGTGATTTTCTTCGTGATGGCCCCTGGGTAGAAATCTTTCCTCTTCCTGGTGACAAATGTGCTTCTTACGGGTAATTCCACATCAAATCACCCACTCCATTGAACCATGTGTCTTCTTTTTGTTTTAAATTTTGACACATGATTCCTATTTATAAAAAAATATTGCATGCAAAATTTCAGCTAAAAATGTCAAGCGGTTGACAAGATACAGCAAATTTAATTTGGACCTGGTTTCTCAAAATGACCCGGTTTTCATAACATTCTGAAAAGTTGTTTTCCTCAATAAAATAAGAAATAAAAATGGCAAAAATATAAAAATATACATTTATAATGGTTTTTTAATGCTGAATTCAATAAATGTACTTAAAATGCTGAAATGTTAGAGGAACATCCTTAAAAATTAATAAATCAACTAGTTTATATAATCTAACTTTAGGGCCCAATATCTCAAAACACCCCCGTCAAATTTTTTTTTTTTTTGCTTTCAATATTTTAAGCTAGTTATAATCTTTCTAGGCACAAAAAATCTAACTGGAAAAAAAACTGAAACATATAGAACTTTAATTTTAAAGATGTATAACTTTTTTAAGAAATTCCTAAAAAATATTTATAAATTCAATTAAAATAAATTATTCCTAATTTACAAAGTTACTTAAATATACAAGATTTTTAAAGGTATCGAATGTGCAAGTTATTTTGACTGTATTTGTAATAGTTCACAATATTGTTGCCATTTTACTTGCACTTCTTCTATTTCAACATTTTCAAACACATAGTTTCTACCAGAACTAGAGCAAGCTTGTGGAACAGATAGTTTTTTCAATATATTGATGTTAGGAATAAAACAGTGGTCGTCTCTTTCAGGCCAGTTAAAATAGATTGATGGACCTCTTGGGTGGAGAAACTTAACTTCAGCATCAACTTCTTCTAGGTTGATTTCAGTTACAATGCCGATCCACCACTTATCATCATAAACTACCGCAACATAACCTCCTAAAGTGACAGTATCAGGTTCAAATATATGTTTCTTTTTAAGATTGTGAATTATTGTATATTTAGTGTCTGTACTACACCTCTTCGCCCCAACCCTATTATCTCCAAGATGTATAAATTGATGAAAGCTACGAGTACCTGGTAGAGTTGTTACATCAGTGTACCTTTCTTTTTGCTTTTCACGTTGCAATTGTAAGTCCAATCCCTTTATGTAAATGAAGTTAACAGCCTTAATTTTCTCAACACAAAATTCATACATAGCCTCTGATGTGAGAATTTGGTTTCTGTATGGTCGTTTTAAACTTTCTTGTGCTGTTAACCTTTTTACAGTACCACCAATTCCATCGCATGGTGACTTTCCGTGGGACGTGGCAAAAAAGTTCCATTCAATTTTGAGGGAAAATTCTGTCTCTAGTTGGCATAGATTGTAAAAGCTTTTACAATTTTTGTACTGTCCTGCACAACCATCAGTGAATAAATGCAATTTGGATAAATCAAGAAATTTTGTTTTTAATATTGGTATAATTAGTTGAAATATCTTGTATACATAAGTTACATCGTGTATAATGTCGTCTGATATAAAACAGTAAGAAATATGTTTCACTACACCATTTTCTTCTTTATAGTATATCACTAATGGATGTAAAGAACATTGTTGGGTGTTCCAGTGATAGCTCTGTATTTCATCTTGGACTACAAAAGCATAATTTTCAGCAAAGTCGCCAAGAATGATAATGTTTGATTGATCCATATTTTCTTTTAGTTGATTAAGGTATTGTGATTGAGATTTGGCAATATAAGAATGAGATTGTAGCTTTTCAAAACAAGATACCAATAGTTCAATAAACGTTGGAACATCTGTTGTTAAACTCAATAGTGTTGCACGATCAGTAGTTTGCCATTGTTTGTAGTGTATCTCAAAATCATCTTCGTATTCTCCAAAAATCTCATACAAATACATGGTGAGCAGTTCTTTACCAGGACAATTATCACACTGTGCAAGCATGCATTCTTTGTTTTCTACTGAGCAAACAGTTTTCAAAAGTAAATCCTTATACGTTAGTTCAATATTTAAGGCATCCACTAGCAAAATGGCATTTTGGTGATAAGAACAAACACAAACAGAATGTGTACCACTTGCACCTGGCAAAATGCACCACTTTGGTCTAAGTGAAGCAACTTTTGAGTAACTTATTTGTATTTCTGGATTGTTTTCTTTGTATAATACATATAGTTCCTTTAAATTACACAAAAGCAGTTTTTTTTGTTTGTGGACGTTCTTTTGAATGCTGACATAATCTTTTTTTCCAGGCATAGTTCGACATAAATCACTTGAGTCATAAAACAATTTAACTGAATCTTCTATTTCTTTATGTAAGACTTTACCCTTATACAATGGAGAGATACCTAACAATCCTTTTTTATTAAAAATTTTTCTAGCCATCTTGGCCTGGTATTCTGTAACCGAAAAGTTATTTTGTACTTCTAATATTGACCAACTTGGGGGTGCCAGTGTTAGAAGTTGAACAATAGTTCGTTTGTCAGAACATAGAATTTTTTCTTTTACCAAGCTCATAATTTCATCAAAGTTTGCAGCCTTCTT